CTCCTCTACCCGTAAAGTCTACCATGCCAAAAAAATGTGCAGAAACTGAATTATTCGATGTTCCAGATGTTCCATATGTTCCAGTTGTTCCGGACGTTCCAGTTGTTCCAGATGGTCCATTCCATGTTTTAGACGTTGCCTATATAAAGCAATAACTCCTTCAAACAAGATGAATTAGTACCAACAATTCGTACGTGGCTTTAAAATAGCCAGCTTAAATATTACTAGTGAGTAGTCTGCCGAAACATATAGACGAATTAAGAGTCGCAATGAAAAATAATGAAATTGATGTCCTTGCAATTAATGAAATCAGAATGGACAACAGTATAGCACCTGAGTTAATAACAATACATGGCTACAACTGGGTTTCCAAAGATAGAAATAGATTTGGGGGTGGTATTGGTTTCTACATTAGAAATACAATAAATTATGTCTTAGACCAGACCTAAATGATAATGATCTTGAAATTTTAACAATTGAAATATTAAAAACAAAGTTAATTCAGCCATTTCTAATTACCACATGGTACAGACCGCCAAGCGATTCAATCCGCACTCTGCAGGGTGTCCCCCAAAAAAGTACCCTCTATAGAAATTATCCTATTGTCATAATTTGAATGCTTGAGCACTATGCTGAACACAAGAGTGCGTAAACATAATTGAATTGAATTTTTTATTACCAGTCGCATAAAATCCTGTGCTTAATAACAATAGGATAAATTTCTATAGGGGGTACTTTTTTGGGGACACCCTGTATATAAATTTGAGAGTTGTTTAAAATTAATTGATAACGAAGACAAAGAAAGTATTATCTTAGGGGATATTAATTGTGATCTCCTAGACAACAATCCCACGTCACTAGTATCAGAATTGAAATTTATTAAATCTATATCAATACGAACAATTGATAAAAGAGCCTACTAGGGTTACAAAAGATACTTCATCCCTAAAGCCGGTTTTCAACTTGCGAATTTTTTCGCGCGAAGCGAATTTTTCTTTTGTCTTTATCCAATTAGTTCCACATGGTTGATGGTTCCAGTTGAGAGACCAAAGACAAATGAAAAATTTGCTTCGCACGAAAAAATTCGCAAGTGGAAAACCGGCATTATAGATCTTTTTATCAGTTGTCGACCAATGCCATATCGACTATGAATGCACGCAGTTCCCATGGTAAAGAGCAGGGCGTCTATACGAATGGGCGGTGAAACACGCCAGTGAAAGCTTTGAAACATGTGTGATGCGCGGACCCCCCACGTTGTTCGAAAGCGATTTCATTGCATTTTCGTGTTTCAAGATGGCGGGCTGCTTGAGCGAGGAAGAATTGGAAATTGCCATCAGTTTAAATGCCAGTTTTGTAGCGGTTTTCTCGTCATGTCCGCGTACTATATTAAAGCATATTTTCAAGTTTGCCACGAAGTATGAATTAGTGAATTTTGCATTTCGGCATTAGCTATGGTAAAATATGTTTAATTTTCACTCTAAAACATATATACTTTTTGTTATATTAATAGTATATTTGGACAATTCTAAGTAATTAAATGATATGGTTTGTTTACTTTATGGTTGGTTTGGTTTCGTATTCGTGTTTTTCTTTGTACATTAATAGTGTATTCAGATCACTGTTTTGCGTATTGTTTTGTATATTCATAAGTTTATTTTTCCCGCCTTTCGTTTTTTGTTCACTTATCCCATTCCCCTCAGCACTTTTAAATGCTGTAAAGACCATTTTAGTTTTTGGGTTGTGGACTTCGAGCAGAAATTGTGAAAAAGGGTCAAAAAGTTATGTTACCGTACTCGGGTCAAATGGATCCTATTAGTTAGGGCAGTCATTGTGCAATTTTCCCAGCTTCTTGGGCCACAGCAAGCATCTCAATTTTTTATGGAAAAATTTCATGTTGAAAATTTCGAAGCCGCCATAGCGACGCGGTCAAGTGTTGCTGCCAAGTAAGATAACATTTTCTTGTATTATTACTCGCATAATGTCTAAAATACACACATCAAGGAAAACATATGCTTGTCTTTCAGATAGGCACATAAAGTGAACAAAAAATATGATTTCAGTCAAGGTTTTTACATAGGTATTTTTAGACCTCGTAGTTGCGAAAGCAGTTGTGTTAAGCATAATAAATTTTAACGTAATGTACATCACAACTCTAAAGTTTAATACCATTTGGCCGTTTCCTCGCTGAAAAAAATCCAAATATTTGCCGTCTACGTAAGAACCGACGAAGTTGACACGCAAGTTTATAGTTTTGAAGTTGAAATATTTCGGTTATTAACGTTACAGAAACATTTTTTCGGCACTACAGCGGTAGCCAACGATCTGTGTAGCACAAGAAAAAGGTATCTCGGACATCGCGTCAAAAATTGCCAAGTTACAATCGTTTTAATTAATGAAGCCTGTTGAAAATTTTATTTTCTTCGATAACTCCTTGTTGTGCACGCTAGGCCCCAGGCCTAAAGTGCATCACACATGTTTCAGCTGCTTCACTGGCGTTTCACCGCCCATTCTTATGCGCTGGTAAACCTCGCTTCGCTCGGTGAACTCGCTCAACCTCGCTTCGCTCGGTGAGTTCGGGGAACTTCCAGCCACCCGAGGTGCGTCAATCCCGGACTCACCTTCCTGCAATTATATTTGTTATAAAACCTCACGAAAGAGTAACTGCATGCCGGAGCGAACGATTTGATATTGTCAATTCATGTCGAGTTTTAAGAATGTGCCTTTTTCACCGCCAAGGGTCAAATATTATTAAAATTATATAGATTATTTGGATTAAATCGTACTGAGTTTTTCACATTACAGTATATCATATAGTAGTTACCCAGCGGGCAAAATGACGTTTATCCAACGTTGAATCAACGTTGGAAATGACCTTCCAGACGTTGGATAGACGTTGAAAAAGGGTTGACTATGCAAATTGGATCGACGTTACTGTTTCGACGTTGAAACAACGTTGAAATTAGGTTGCCAATCTCGTCAACTATAATTCAACGTTGAATCCACGTTAAAACAACGTTGAGATTGGTTCACAAATCGACGTCGTACATTTAACCATGAATGAACGTTAATTCAACGTCTGTTGGCTGCTGTTGAACCAATGTTTGTAAAACAACGTCATTAGGTTGTCGACGTCGCAACCTTTTTTCTACCAAATTTCAACGTTGAAACAACGTCGTGTGCCCGGTGGGTATATACTATAATATTATTATATAAACTCTGTAATTCAGTCTTTGTATTAAACTGCGAAAGAGTTTCCGAATAAACCATAATTATTGATTAGTATTATTTTGGTTAAATTTGGAAGTAAATTGGATTATAAAAAGCAAACGTTTGTCTTGCTTTACCGGGAGGAGTAATTAAACCACATGCAGTTTATAGAACTAGACTTAATTCGCTGGCGGATGCATACAGTCTCAGAATGTCTTCTACTTTCATGTTTTTTGCTTTTGCATGGCCGCCATTCAAGTCATCCAACATGACAGCAAAAAAGGAACAACGTCAACCAGAACTGTGACTAATTGTGCAAGTCTCCATTGTAGATTATAAATACCAGCGTAATTTCACGGCAAATGCCAGAGCAAATGGCTATATAAATACCAATGTAATTCTCTTCCCGATCATTTAAGACTCTAACACCTAACTCTTCCACATTTTTAAGAAGTTATTCAAATTGGAATACTACAATTTGAATAACTGGAATACAAAAATTCAGTATTAAAAAATTCAATTTCAATGGGTGATTTCACTAGTTCATAGCCCCAAGCTCCACGGTTCCTGGTTTACATTTAGTTAAGCACGGTATTATCAACGAGGTTGTGACACAAATATCGCCTCACACAACGTCGTACGTCTGTTGAAGAGGTAACAAAAACTTAGACTGACACATGACTGTCATGTTGTTTATTAGGTTGTCTTCCACACTCGCTGCATGCTAACTACCTGCATTCTGGAAATTCTGGAATGTATCAGTTTGCGATTGATCATCAATGACAATGTAACTGGAGACAGCAAAAATGACCTTTTACGTTGCTTTTGTCGGATCCTTTAATTTTATGGTAATTCGCTCACACTATGTCCACATAAGGAAAAGCGATTAAACCTATATCATTAATTATACAACAAGGTGCGATAAATCGCATGCTAGCATGCTGATAAAGTCGATAAAATACTAGTTATCAGTACATGGTTTTGAATGTAACGTCTGCTGTCCTGTTTGCTGGCCACATTTAGCATTAGGAATTGATGGTGGTATGGTATTTCAGAATAGATGGCTTTACTGATGAGTTGCTAAAGTACATGGCTTGTCGGAAATCGTTATAAATCCCAGTATGAGAGTTTGGCTGTATTGCGAGGATAAAGTCTAAACGAAGGTAATTACACTGCGATTAAAGTCTTAATATGCAAGTTAATACGTAAATACACATCGTTCCGCAAAGCTGTTCTTGATGTACTTAATATTCGAATGATCAAAGTTATTCATCATCACATCAAATGTTACTGCACGTTAAATCTTAAGGATTATTACATATTTTAACGATTTATCTTCAAATATTCTGCAATAATCTTGACATGTCCGATACTCAATATATTATTAAACACTTAATTAAAACGATACTCTTGAGAGTTAAGATTGAGCTCCATTAACGAATCAGCGGAATCACCAAGGCGAACCTAAACAACAATATACAATCATGTCATTTCATGAAATTATGGGGAATATTACAAACGCACAAGAACACTGTTTCATGAAAAAATTGTCTCTGTACACAAGGGTCGATAATTGAAGTGGCGCTGTGGTGGTTTTAGTTTCTATACGTAGTGACTATTGACTGAGTGTAGTGGTATCACTTCTATTCGTATGTTACCGTCATCGAGGATTCATCATTATATTTTATACCCACAAATCACAATGAATTAGTGCTACATTATTAATTCGGTGCAACATTTTGATTTCTGCTAGTTATTGTGATTTTCATTTCAACTTTTCTCGTCGCTTGCAGAATGCAAAGAAATGAACAATTCTCCAGCTGGATCTCAAAGGTATGTGCTGCCGCAATATCCTTCTTTTGAAGTGTAATAACAGGGTTTGAACAAAGCCGAGTGTATACATGAAACACGGGGGCCGTTGTTGAATAATTATCGCTACGGATTGGTCGCATTAAGCGCTAATTGCTTGCCAGGCATAGGTAACGTCTGATGATGCCGTTTGCTTGAAAGAATAACTCCGAATAGCTTCGTTTGCGCGCACGTCTGTCATTTTGTGACCAAAATTGCAACGCAGTATATAAATGATCGCTGCCGACGCTGCGACTCACATGCAGTGACTTTTAACATGCTAACCTGATTAACGATATCTCAACTCGCGGATGGTTCAAATGTCTTGTAGGCATTGCAATTTGTTGACACAATTCATCAGTCAGATTAATAGCGCTGGTGAGTTCCGTATCTGTTTTCGAAAATAACAGTTCGGCGCCGTGGTAAAAATATTGCGGGATTTAGGACTTGGCTCTGGTTGAAAGACTTGTGTTGACATAGCATTCAATCGATTTGTTTTTGCCGGAAGTCCGACTTTGGGTAACCGTTTATTCTGCAATTGAATAAGGTAAGTGGGTAACTATTAAGTGGTAACCACCATTGATGACGAGCATTTTCTTGATTAAAAACATCAATATTCCTGGTCGTGTACTTATCTCTAGAAAATCACCCTTAGGACGCCGATTCAGAGTGGATTTATACGTACTGATTCTCTCATTCACGTCTTATTATGCCTCGATGCAAATGACTGTTTACCAATGACCCAATGGGCGAACGAGTTATTAATAGTTAAACTGTTAAAGCCAACAAAAATATGGTTAACTGACTAAACTAACAAGTTACATCGAAGGCGTGATATTTGGATGTCAGCCGTGTACCAAATCGAGTGGTAAGTTAGCTGCCATATTTTATGAAGAACGCTTTATTAGATTCCAGGTCTACGAGCACGCATGTGCACGCTTTGTAGCACTAAACGACAGCTAATTCATCACCCAGGGACTTGCCCTGAGACGCAGCTTCATGTTTACAAGATCTCTATAAGAGTGCAAACTCGCATGGACGTGAAAATGATGAGTAAATTAGTGAATAGAGCTGTGATCAATGCATTTTCCCAACTAGATCATGTTTCATGCTTGGCAACATGGCGCGAAACAAATACGTCGTAGTGTGTGTGATGACAGACCAACAACGCATAATATGCAACCAGCTGGGATAGAGAAAGATCACCGCAGCTGGGACAAAAACACTGCTCAGGTTTAATATAGATTTGATACTTACACTGTAGTTCCATCCATCACCTTTGTGAGTTATATCCAAACATGACCTGGTCACATGCCAAGTTTTTGTATTTTTAATTCGGCCCAATGGTTGCGATGTGTAAAGAAAATGGCTGTAAAAGGCTTGCTTTGCTCGCATATACATGCACATAATTTACTCATTAACTTCACTCAGGTAGGATTTCCGGAGTTCTCCCCTTGATTACATTACAGTCAGTGTCTGATGTTGCACAATGTAAAACATGTCCTCGACTATGTCGACTATCTACGAAGTTGGAATATATTTCATACAATTTTATTACTATACTAGGTCTTAATAGAGAAATCTATAATAATAAGATTACAATTTCTCCCTATAAGGCTATCAGGACAAAATTGCTTATTTCTGTAGCCGTCAATATACACTACTGTAACAGTACGATGTACTCTTTTTATGTCTATAGTTTATCTACAGATATATTGTAAAAAATTTCGACATTTACATTTCCAACGTCTACAGTTTATCTTAATTCTCCATCCAGAAGATGAAAGGCCATTGGCATTGCGTCGTATTTGTCCTCTCTGCTCTTTCCCCCACAGCACTACTGAGAGACTCTCTATAGGTATCACCTCGGCTATCACTTGTCCGTTATACAGTTTATCCCTCGATTTAGCCGCAGCAGAAGCTGGTAAATATGTAGCTATTATAAGCGAGTTGACTCCATATAGCCCATTATATATAGCCTATAGGTATATCTGTCAGTCCAAACTGTATTTAATAGAAAAATAAACCGCTGTATCCCGCGTTTTGATCATATAATTAATTATACCTGAAACAATAATGAAAACGTTTACGTTTCCTTCATTTCGAGTTTGTGCATGAAGTGCTTGTACAGATAGATGGTGAAGTACGACAAAGAGCAGATGTTCTAATTATGCTGTAACTCTTATTGGGTATACTACTTCAACTGAACCATAAACACACACAGTGAAAAAATGGAAACTCAACGAATGGACAAATATAAGACTACTTATAGACTACTTGCACTACACCAGCTATAGAACTAGCTATGACGTACATAACCAAAACCACGGGACCCTGATCAGCCGTACGAATTTTATAACTATGTCACTCTCTCTGTGATTAACTAAATTTTGAACATGTGTATGTGGCCCAAAGGCAAAGGCAGTGCTAAATATCTTTTAACAATGTTTTTGCCGAAATTGACAAATGATCGGTTAAATGCATGCCAGACTATTAGATAATTCATTTGAAAAAGATTAAGGATTTGCCTGGGGTTAAAGTTGGCTTTTCAAGTCCAAACATATAACAACCGGATACACTTATTTTATTTATATATTCGGTACATACTATCACAGATACCTTATCGGTCTTGGCTGCTGCAGGCGAAAGCTATTTCCAAGGACTTGTAAACAAATATATAAAAATATACCTCTTAATCAAATTTTTATCTAGTGTGCGTCTAATATGCGACAAGGGAGTCGTACCTCACGGTCTTCATCCACTGACTATATATATATATATATATATACTGATAATTTATACATGTATGTTTGATCTATATAATTAATTTAAAAATATGCATATATACCATGCATGAATGTTCTTATTCTGAATGCAACAAGTTAGAATGGCTCACTATAGTCACTATGCCTTTTATATAATATATATAGCCACGCATACAATTCAATGATATACTATATATTTATGCAGATTATTTTTTGTTTTTACCCATTATTTTTTGTTTTTAAGGCATGCAGACTAACTAAAGCTTACAAGTATATAAATCGGGAAATTGGGTTGTTTTGGGGATATTTACAATCTATAAAACAAACGAACATCGATCCCCACAGCTGCATGGCCGTAATGTAAGCGGACACGGTTGCATGGTTGTAAATTGTAATGGGCTGACAAATTATATGTAAAAGTTGGGGAGGGGGTGGGATGGCATGCATATCCCCTCAAAAATTCATGCAAATATTGGAGTGTAAAAAAGTTCATGCAAGCATTTAAGAAAGGAAAAAATTCGTACAACTACAGGGAATATGACAAAAATACACAGAAAAAAATCCTGCACAGCTTCTACACCATACGTTCGACTACGCAGTAAGCTCGGAACTTAACTGCATATAATTTCTTGCGCAAGAAAAATGTCCCCTCCCCCCTCCTGGGACATCTAGTGATCCACTCCTAATGATGAAGAGGTTACCCACATGCAGCGTCTGACAACCTGCACATAAACCTGGAAAACTGCATGTGAAATGCCGGAAAGCATTAGCTCTCATGCGACTTCAACGCTAGAAGGAGTGTTGCACCACCATTGGCATCAAGGCCAAGCTACCTAAAAGTGTCGCCATCAGTCTTTCTTTGAATCCTTGATCCGCGGTAAATTCATAACACAGCCACTGACCAAAGGCAACGGATGTGGAACAAATGCACATCCATCGACTGTTGCAGGGGCGAAACTTGAGGGGGTATGGGGGGGGGGTGATACTTCCCCCCCCCCCCAATACGTATCATCTAGATTGGCAGGGCAATCAAAGATTTTAAATGATAGTTTCAGGGCTTTCAGAGTGAATTGAATAGAATTTATAGACCTAAATTTTACAGATATTGGTCAAAAAAATTGGTTTTAACAGGAATTTGTACGGAAAAAATTTTTTGACCGTAAATTTAACTGGTTTATGTCCAGAAATAAAAATTTGCTGCAGGGCATCATCGGTTTTGGCAGGGAAATTCTGGCAGACACCCCCCCCCCATCGAAATAAAAGGGGCTAGTTTCGCCCCTGGACTGTCGTTAGTCGTGTATGTGGGTACTGACTACTCATGACTACTTCATATTAGGCTTATATACTCGCTGAAGAAAATGCCGATTTATACTTGCAAAGGCAGTTTCGCGCAGAATGTGGAAATAACACACAAAAAACTGGAGATACCTCTTGGTATGATAATGACCCAAAGAGCAGCACAAGTCAAGGTAAAACCCATAATAAAAGGTCTGGGTATAAATGTTGTGACGAAAATCCTAAAGAGTAAAGAGTACCAGCTGCAATCTTTGAGTGTTTATCGACCTTTATAGTCAGTTTAAATTCCAGCTAGAACTGTATATACAAGAATACGCGTGTTATACCTGCATGGTGCTTACCTATAGCTACCGTAGTGTTTTGAAATTGTATAGTTCATTGTCATGGGACTTCAGTAAAACTTTCAGATTCCAAAGAAAATTTTGTCAGTTTCTTTCATCGAAGCAATCAATTTTACTGTTTAAGCCCACAATTAGAAATTTTTAAAATAAACATGCCAAGCTCACCATAATTGCCAGTTTTTCCAGAAACGGCTTCGTGACGATGTAAATTGCTTCAGGGTCTTGTGCTAAGTGGCCTTTGACAACTATGCACCTGCATTACTCATTAGGGATTGGTTTCCATGGAAACCGAACGACTTTTGGAGCAAATCGCTTTCGGGGACTCCATCCTTCGCCAGCGAAGTAACCTATATGCACAAATCAAACAATGCCTGGGTTAATTACACATTCAGTTTACTCTGTCGGGCAAAGCACATTTGCTAACTTCTCATGCAATTTTCAATAAAACGTATATTAACCAAATTTTAATCACGTTGCTCTTGGGCAATGTCCATTAATAGTATTAGTCCCACAAATTTTCGTAAAATACTTTTGATAGTTTTTAAGTTATCATGCTGACAGACAAACACAACACAAACACACACATACAAACACGGATGGAAACATAACCTCTTGGCGGAGGTAAAAAACATACCCTCCTGGCGGAGATAATTAGCCTTATTAACAAAATGGGCAATGTACGTAGACAAGTTGACAACTGCTGTACGGTATCCGAATGCAGTTAAAAAATTAAATTCCTATCATTTTCCTGTAGGATACGTCACAGAATGTAGTCTATATGTTTATCAAAATTCGAATCTAAACTTTATTTTGGACTTATTATTGTAATGACGCACATTCGGTTTGAATCCTTAAAATTCAATTTACACTTAAAATTCAATTCGGATTTGCATTTTCCCATATATGTCATCACGCTCGCACGGCATTTGGAAGCTATGGTATATTTTGGCAAACTACCGAATAGAATACTGTTGCTAAATAAGTCAAATAAATATGAAAAGAACTGGAGAAACAATGTGCTGTTTCATGAAGAAAACACACGAAAAAGGTTGTTAGGCTCCTAATTATAAGTTATACAAAAATACTATTGACTAATGATTAATGTAAAGCAACTGAAAGGTTTGTGACTAAAAGCCTGGGTCTGCATGCATGGATGAAATGAAGTGGACCAGTTGGTGTAAACGCCGTCACCCAATATTATATTTTTTCTCTCGCAACGAGCCAGATCCATGACTCGCATGAGGACTAATAAATATTTGATACAGCTGGTAGTTAAACCTTTCGTCCTGGGTGATCAGTACATTAATAATACAGCCATGACCATTGTTCTTTTGTCCCTTTGGGATAATTATGGCAACTAAACTGCATCAAGATAAACTCCAAAGTTTTCAAAATTGAACAACTACAATTATTATTGGGCCCATGCATGCCGTATGAAATTAGATCCGCTGACGTACTAGAAACTTTTTCGTGGAAAACATTCAATGTCGTGACCTAATCAAATTTGTATTCTGTACAAAATCGTAAAGGATTATGCCGCCCAAGTTCGAGATAAACCTTTCTTCTGAGAGGATGTGTTCAACCTAGTGATATCTTCGAAATAATGCTACTGATTTAGTACTCCAAAGTCTAAAAGAGATTTCATGATCGAAGAATAGTTTTACTGATATACAGTGAAGCCATGCTATATGGAATAATCTTCCTGCTGATGCTAAATTGGCAGGATCTATTCACTCCTTTATTAGAAGGAGTAGGCTATATGTTTATTTTTTCAAGCCTGATTTTCAAGAAATTAATATACACAGTGTATACAGTTAATTTGTAAGTAATTTTGTATATATATTATGGACTTCTCACTCAATAAAACTAATTATTGAAGGGTTTTGTAGATGGAAATTTACGAGTGTAAATTTTACACATTTTTAAGCCTATTAAACTTAACCGGGAGCAGTTGCAAAAATGCAACCATAGGCCCTCTGGCAGAATTCTGTAATTTCTGTAGCTCAGTTGGTTAGAGTGCTGCACTGGAATCGCACATTCGATTTCTGCCATGTAGCCATAGCATTGTTCGCAACTGCTTCTGCATGGTTAAGTCTAATACTGACGTATAAAATTTACACTCGTAAATTTCCATCTATAAAACCCTTCATTTATTTTGTATATATAGTGCCTATAACCGGTTTCCGCTTGTAGAAATTTACTACCTACTTACCTACCTACCTACCTACCTATACCTACCTACCTACCTACCTACCTACCTACCTAACTACCTACCTACCTACCTACCTACCTACCTACCAACCTACCTACCTACCTACCTACCTACCTACCTACCTACCTACCTACCTACCTACCTACCTACCTAGAGTTAAATATTTCAATAAATGTCAATCATCATTCACCGATTCTTTTGTTTAATATCAGGAGTACTATGACGAATTTAAACCGACGTGGTAGTTTGTCAGCCACAAGTATTGAAACAACCATGAGTTTCGATAGTGTTTTTACTGACGAGGTAAGCTACACTTATCCATGCAGCTATACATATATCCAGCAGAGGACTATGCATGTCTTCGAGTGCCCTATGCATGGTGGATTGTGTTTTAGAGAGCCAGTTAGTATAAGGCTTGTTTCATCCTTAAAAATACTAAACGCTGTTTCATCAATGCAATTCCTATATGGAATGTGAGTATGACCAATGACGTTTTTGTTTCATAAAGAATGCGGCCAAAAGAACATATTAATTGGGGACACGTATATATATGAAGCCTTGCTACAAGTCTGCTGCATTCCTAACTACGATATTTTGAATATAATCGTAGACTGGAGCACCCTATTATACTGTCAGTGATGATGATGACTTGGTCAATGGACTTATACCTCGCATCGCAACATCGCTTTCTTCTCCATTGTCTAAGAAACACAATAGTTTGTCTACTCGGGTGAAGAGAGACCTCACCAGGACCAGATCATTACCTGGTAAAAATGAGGTATTGAAAGGTTATTGTATATTGTTAAGAAAGTCATTTCCCAGTGCCACGCCGTGAAACGTCGTCCAATATATATATATATATATATATATATGTATATATAGCTTAAGATTTTGGTTTACGAAACACAAACAGTGCTTAATACCATATAGATAGAGCGTAATATAGTTTTTCGTTTTACCTCAAAAAACCACAACAGTCTGTTTCATCCGTATAGGAATCATCAGGAACCACCTGATGATTCCTATACGGATGAAACAGACTGTTGTGGTTTTTTGAGGTAAAACGAAAAACTATATATGTATATATATATATATATATATATATATATATATATATATATATATATATATATATATATATATATATATATAAATATATATTTAAATTCACCTGATGAGTGTGGCAAGACTTGTCTTGTCAAACGAAACAAATTTGTAGTGAAATAAAGTTCATATGA